TCACAGTCGAGTCCTAAACAAACATATCTGCTGCTCAGATTTGATCTTCATGCTCATCAAACATGTAAAGTTTTAGAAATCTAGCTTGAACAGTTGCAAAACTAGTGTGTTAGCAGTATCTGGTACTGTTGATGTCTAAAAACTTCTATTCCATTTCAAGGTTTATTTGAAATAGATAAAATGAAATGAAATAAAATAAATGAAATGAAATTCTAGGATTTGAACCTACAAATCCTAGAATTTGTAGGTTCAAATTCTATTTCCGAGATGCAGGACAAAGCGTTATAAAAATAGCTTTGTCCCCGTTGCTGTCACTGAATTAAATAAGAACTGTTTTTGATTCAAAATATTAAAATTACTATATATGTGCCACAGTGAGGTTTATATCTTTACTAGGTATGTGTGTTTTTAAAGGGATGCCAAATGCTGTCATTTTTTCTGTAAAGCAAATTTACCTTGCCTATGGGTATAAATAAAGTTACCTTGACCATGACCTACAGTGGTGATAGGAGGCCACACATCAGGGGCATGAATATCATACATTTTGCCTTATAAAAGTTTTTGTTGTTTGTTTCCTTTTTCATGGGGGAAAGATTGTACATCATGCATTTTTACTTACTTTAAAATATAAGAATTGTGTGCACAAGTTTGAAATCATTTTAGATTTGCTCTGAAAATCTGAGAACTATGCTTAAAGCCAGGAAAGAAATTTAAATGAATTCTGCCAAGAAGAGGAAACAAATATTCAGCCAGAAGCTTGTTGATGGCTACCAGGTTTGCTATGGGACATTTAACCAAGTATTAGTGGGAGAGTAAGTACACGTTTGACTCTGTGTGGATGAGAGGAAATCCAAATTAATTTAAAACTTGTGCATCCAGTTAAAGTCACTATAATATACGCTGTACAATCAATGCACCCTGCAAAAAGTACAGTTCAAAGAAATAATGGAAAGCCCCAAATTACCATGACATCCCTGTGATGACTGCACGGTGCAGATGCAGACGGTGAAATGCTGTTCCTGCGAGGTTCATTGGAACGCCTCTCGTGTGGAACATTTTACAACCTTTCACGGACGTTTACCGACAACTCCTGAAGGCTTGAATCTTAGAGTGAGGGATATGTTGGCTCTGGTAACATTTGTACCAGCTGGAGCTTCCTTGCAGTGGTTTTACAGCCATCTTTGACAGGGTACACTGGGAATCTATGTGGAAAGCTGATGGCTCCCCACTGAAGAAGATTCTGCAAAGCCACGGCAACATGCAAAACGCCATGTCCACATGTGAGATCCAGACGGTCAGTCGAGGCTGTCTTGTCTCCTAATGTCTTTCATATAACAGAAAACTAGATGATTAGCTCATTGCATCACTGCAGCCCCCTTCTGCTTATAGGAGGTCTAAATGCAGAATAGCTTCACTTACAGAGCCTTATCAATCAAGTAGACATTGCCTCAGAATATCTTGGCTTATAGATCAGCCCATGTCATTACTCTTGCTGGAGAGGCTCTTGAAGTGGGTGATGTCACTTGCCTTGGGTCTTGGGTGCAAAGATTGCCGCTTCTGATTAAGTTGTCCTTGTACCTTCATCAGTGTATGTGGTCTAAACATCTCCCCGTGACCACATATGCAAGTCTGCAGCTCAGTCGCTATTAAAGTGTATTTCTGTACAGTTCTGAATGTTGAATCAAAGTAACGTCACTCTGCTCGACCAGCTTGCACACACTCCTGATCATCAGTACTGTGCAAGAAACTGTGTTAACTCCTATTCAGCCAAACAGCTGCGATGGTGTTGGCGTGTGAGATGAATAAAGCCTGAGGACTTTGCAAATTGTTATTTGATCCCATTCCAGCCAAACTGAAGTGTCTATACAACGCACCTTAGAAGCAGCGAAAAGATCGAGATTTTAGCCGACCTGCAATCCATCTCGCAACTCTACAAGCATGAAGACGTTCCTCATGACCTGTGCCATCATGCACAGTCGCAGATAAACTACACCACGACCAATAACGTGTAAGCTGGCATGTGGCTGCAGCGTATCGAGATGCTACATCAAGGATGTTATCACAATCATGGATAATAGAGTAATGATAAATATAGGGGTGCAACGATACACAAAATTCACGGTTC